ATTATGACTAATTACTCTATTATATTATTCTATAAAATATTTTTCTAGGATGAATTTTTGAATGAATCACTTTTTCTTATCTGGTTACTTTTTTTAAGTTAGATCTTTATTTTTAAATGATGGTTTGCTCTATAAAAAGTCCAGGCTAGGATTAACAGGATCGATTATTCTACTATTTTTTAGATTTAAATGATGTTAACTCAATTTTTATAAATTTTTAATTCAATCACATGGAAAATTTATCATATTCTTTCATTAATAAAAAAAAACTTTATTTTTTCATTCTTTTGATTATTTTTAACATTTTTTATTATTTTATTTTAAATGTTCACTTGATTTTTATGTTTTGGAGCACCTTCTGAACACTTTCCTCCATTATCAAAATTTTCATTTTTTGATCACATCATCCTGGACGATATTACTATCGTCCTGGACGATATTCCTATTGTCCTAGACGATGTCATCACATTACTATTCATCATCATCTAATGGCTAATCTGACTCAATTATTTGATATTGTCTTGGATAATCCATATCATCCTAGACAATCTGATTGAATTATGTTTTAATTATTTATGATCATTCTAAACGATCCACATGTTTGTCTTGGACAATCCACGTGGCAAAAATGGCTAAAAGTTTTAAAATTGGATGGTATAATTCATTATTATTTATCGTCCTAGATAATCCACCTAATCATCTTTGACAATACATTTTATCAATGGTCATCCAGTATGACTCCTCTAGACAATCACTTGTGTCTAATCGTCCCGGATGATGTTTGATCATCCTGGACGATAGGACTGCTTTTTGACCAATCGTTCTGGACATCATAAATTCTCTTGATCATCTTGGACGATCCTGTGATTGTTCTGAATGATGTTCCTGATTCTTTATAAACATCTAATTTTAAACATTTTTCTTACCATCCAATCCTCTAATTCTTCTCTCCTTCTTACTTATACTCTCAATCCTTATCAATAATTGGTGGGAAATGGTTTAGGATGGTGACCGAAAGTTCCTTAAGGGTGTTTGTCGACCCTCAATTCACTAAGGCGGCTGACCGAGTCGCCTATCTTTGATACCAAACTATTGGGATAACACCTTCGAGGATTGTCAATCCTCGAACACTCACTTACCCTATACTGAATATGTTCACTCACACCTCTCTCACTTTCATTCTGACTCTTGCTTGCCTATTCAATTGTCAACTCCTCTATGAGTTCTTCACTAGTCTAAGGATCAATGTCGCTTATACTACCCTACAATCCTATATTCATAAACACACAGTAGAGATCACCTACCAGGATTGTCATGAACTCCAACTTTCTACTACTAGAGATAAGCTTCATACATTATCTTTAGATCCTTATTATAATTGGTGTCCTGTCAAACAACTACTAAGGAACATAAATGTCACCTACCATGATGGTGCCTCGAGCACCTTAGTGAAATATGCTAGGACAATTCAACATGTCCTTAAAACTTCAGTGATCCCAAGGCTGGTGATCATATCCAGATCACTCCCCTTCTCTCAATCACTACCTTCTACATAATGGCATATAACGAGTTCAATGCCATTGATCTTCTTTTTTGATATATTGAGTGCCTAACCAGTATTAGGGATTTAAGGCACAAAAAAAAATATAATCTTGTCTTAGGACACATCATAGCTTTTATGCTGGAAATCAAATACAACCATCAATATCCTGCCCCATCAAACTATTAACCTGCCTACTACACTAATAGCTTCTTTCATGTTTTTCACAGCACTTATCTCCATCCGGGGCATGAGGAGGCTGAGGGAGCCGAGAAGGAAGCTATTCCTGCACCTATTTTGATCTGACAATAGTCACAGCTGGATCAAGTGGTGGAGAGGTTTGACTAGTGGAGAGGTTTGACTAGTGGGAGGTCAGGTTTGACTCTTACATTGCTACACAAGAGCAGTAACATGAGGCAAATGTTGTTAGATTTGATGCATATGTGGCACACCAATAGTAGAAGCACGACCATAATATGGCTTAGTTTGGGGAGCAGTTTGCTTCCATTTCCAATTTCTTTTATCCACCACCACCACGTACTTCACTTGATCAAGGCCCCTCATACTTGTAGTCTATTTTGATGTTTTTTTTGTGATGTTTTATTATACTATTGTTAATTTCTATTTTATATTTTTTGCTTTATATTTCTTTTCTTTTTTCTCCTTTTTGTGATGTCAAAAGGGGGAGCAATATTAGTGTTAGTGTTATTGTTATTTCATTATATTATATTATTATATCATTTAGTGTTTGTACTCTTTTTATTGTATCACCTGCTTATTTTAGTAAAATTTGCACTATTTGATTCATATTATTCTACTTTACTTTATATTTCAGTCTTATTAATATGCTTGAGTTAAATTTCCTAAAAAATATTTATCATCGTCAAAAAGGGGGAGATTATTACAAACATGGATTCAAAAATTATAATTTTGATGATAACAAATATTTCTGACATTACTATTTTTTACTACTGTTACTACTACACATCTATTTTAGTTTCCTGCCTACTAACATTTCAAGTTTACAAGGTCAATTATAATTCAAGCCAGCTCAAGTTTAGGTAGATTAAGACTGAGTCAGTCTGCAAGTGTAATTCCAGTGGTTTTTCCTTTTCTTGAGTCAAATATAATAAGGTGGATCCTGATGCTACGTAACCTTGCACACACACACTCAGTGGGAGAAATTCTATAAGTTTAAGGGTTTTTTATTTTTGATCACAACGTATAGGGCGATCCCAAATCGTTCTAGATGATCAATTAAAAATTGAAACCCTAACTAGGGCTCCTAAGTTAAGACAACCAAATTAAGCAAATTGTCATAGATGATATTTACATTATATTGGACGATATGCTCAAATCAGAAAGAATCATCCACCAAATTCTTTAAGGTATGATATTATTTTAGAAATCATACAGGACGATCCCATATCATTTTGGATGATTCATTACAATCATGCCTAAATTAGTCAGGTGATTATGGAAAGTAATTAAGGTTTGATTGATCGATCATATCATCTTAGACGATCACAGGATCGTCGTGGATGATCAATTAGAAAAACCTTAGTTTTCTCTTGAATCACCTGGATGACCAGAAAAATTTGTTGGACGATATACCTATTTTTGAACTAATAGTACATGACGATCTAAGAATTATCTAGGACGATAAGCTATATTTCTTCATCATCCAATATGTATCTCCTGGACAACCAGAACAGTTTGTTGGACGATAATCATTGGTTTTGAACTAATCGTATAATACGATCCAAGAATCATCCGGGACAATAAGTTATATTTCTTCATCGTCCAACATATATCTTTTAGACGACCAGAATGATGTGCTGGATAATATGTATAAATTTGAACTAATCATACAAGATAATGTCCACATCATCCTGGATGATTTGAACAAATATTATGTTCTAATCATCCAACCCCTCAAACCGTCCAGGCTAAAAGGGCTGAAATACACTAATCATACATGATGATATCAATCATTCTAGACGATCTTTGACGGCAAGTTACAATTAGGGAAAATTTTAAGCCCTTCTTTATAAAATCTCTTGTTTATTGATATTGGGATCTTTTGCTATTTTCCTGACCTAAGAGAGCTTAGAGAAGGAGAGGGAGAGCTTGGGAGAGAGAGAGAGAGATAATCTTATGAGGGGGAGTTTGTGAGGTGTTCACAAAGTTGCTCCAAGAAAGGATTCAAGTCATCTTCTCCATTCATCATCCTTGGCTCCTTGGTGGCTCTAGGAAGGTCATCTTTAGCAATCAATCAAGGTTCTATGCCTACTTCAGGAGGAAGCAAAATGAGGTTGGGTTCTCTGTCTCACCGGGGTCAGTGGAAAGAAGTTTGTAAAGGCTTATCTGTCTTGCTGTGGGAGCAAAAGGAGAGTCATTGTATTTTAGTGCATACCCAGAGGAGATGCTCCGGGGAGTGGCCGTAGGTCAAGTTGACCGAACCACTATAAAATTTTGGTGTGTTACTTCTGCACTTTACTTTTCCGCATATTAATTTATGTGGATGATTGCGTTTATTTTAAAATATTTGAAAAGAATTTAAAAAGTTTTTACTTTACGTTTAAGAGTTTTAAAACTACAAATTCACTCCCCCCCCCTTCTCTTGGTTAGCCTCAGGCTAGTTCATAAGGGCTTAACAACCTTAACGAACTTTTAGCCCTTACGCCTTCCAATGTCAACATGAGAACATAATGTTTATATAGCACAAGAACATACTTGTATGCACCAAAATATGCCCTCATGCACTAGAAAATGTCCATAGGCACTAAAATATGCCCATAGGCATTATAACATAACTTCTTCCATCCATACCATATTTTCTTAGAATCACACATTTTAACCAATTAAACACAATTCGTTGCATTACGCTAATTAAAACATAAATAAAATTATCTCATAATTTCACAAAATGCTAAAACGGTATGCATCTAAATTGACTACCGTGCATAAATGTACTATTTTAGGATATAACTAAATTACAAGTGAATATGTAGAATATTATTTTAAGCCTTTAATTATAATATAACATTATTTTTCAGAGTTATGATTATTTTTTAATCAATTAAAATAGTGTAATTCCCAAAATCCCTAGTATAAAATTTAAAAAATGTAAATATTCATAATCATTCTTTGTAATATATAGAAAGTTAATCTATGAAAGTTTTGCAAATATAAAGTTATCTTTATTTTTTTATTATAGAAATATAAATTAAATTAGAAAGTTCTAAAAGTATCTATATTTTCTTAAAATTGAGATAGCCCAAATATAACATATCTCGATTCGAGCAATTTTCAAAATTGGGTCATCTGGAACGGATTGAAATCACTCGAAATAGACATTCTCTCTCTAGATGGTTTCTCTCTCTCTTGGTAGTTAGCCCTTAGGAGAAATAAAATGAATCAAATAATAGAAAATTATATTTTTAGTATTAAAATTCAGCCCATGGCAACGGTGCCCCGCAACATCCACCACAACCCTCCTTTTGGAGCTTACAAACTTGCCAGACTCACTTACACCTCAGGCTGCAAGTTCACCTAATAATTGTATTTTTAAGGCGAGGAGCTGGCAACTGACTTTGAATCAAAGGATTTGTAAGCAGCCCTCGTGACAAATTTATTATTATTTATTTTTTCTAACAGAGTCCATCCCTTTGACATTCCGCGTTTCCCTCCCAAAAACCCTAATCATCTCCAGCATTTCATTCCTGCCGCCGCTCGCCGGAGCAAACACCCAGTACAAAGAAGGAAAACAAAATGCATGCCTCCGCCTTCGTCCACCGGAATTATATCCACCATCCTCCCATTTTCTCCTCATGCCGCCGCGTCTGCTTTGCATCTCGCCTGAGATCCACCATCCGCATGTCCCTAAAGGAGGATGGCCCCTCAGTCGCCGTCGTTGGTGTCACTGGAGCTGTCGGCCAGGAATTCCTACAAGTGCTCTCCGACCGCGATTTTCCCTACCGAAGCATAAGCATGCTTGCCAGCAGGCGCTCTGCCGGTCATCATCTTAGCTTTGAGGGCCGGGAGTACGAGATCGAAGAATTAGTACCGGAGAGCTTCGATGATGTTGACATTGCACTCTTCAGCGCTGGCGGATCCGTCAGTCGCGATATGGCTCCTATTGCCGTCCAGCGCGGCGCGTTCGTTGTGGACAATAGTTCTGCTTTCCGGATGGATCCCAGAGTTCCTCTGGTTATTCCGGAGGTGAATCCGGATGCAATGGCGCATATTAGTCTTAGGAAGAGAGGAAAGGAGGGGGCGATAATTGCTAATCCGAATTGCTCGACGATTATCTGCCTGATGGCGGCAACACCACTTCATCGCCATGCAAAGGTATTTTCTGATTTTTTTTTTTTTAAACTTGATTTTATGGATCTTCTTTATTCATTATGACTAAAGGAGTTATCAGGTCGATGAATCGTTAGTAATAGATGCTCTGTACTTCGACAATATGAGGCAATTACATGGGTATTTCCCCCAAAAAAAAGGGAGTTTTACATACATACCACTTAATACTATTCTATTTACATATTTTGTACTTCGACAATATGAGGCAATTACATGGGTAACACTTACATATGGGCTATTTACAAAACAAACACCATACTGTCTTCATTTTTTGAATTCCCACCTAAATATTGACATTCACGTCAAAATTCTAACTCTTATTTTTCGTTTTTTTTTTTTCATATTCTCAACAGTTTGGTAGTGGCATGCGTAAATACATAGGTTGATTGTTAAAAATTTGTCATGGATGTTTGTTTTATAAATAGACAAGATTTGAATTTTACATCTATAATTACCCCTTATGTTTCTTTTTTTTTTCCCCGATGCTATGGCAGTTATTGGTTTATTGACATCGTAAATTTTGAGTTATTAGCTTCTCATACTATTATGAAAATTTTTGTTGGCTAACAAATTGTAATCTATAGTATCTGTCTTGATGGCTAAAAGAAATGAGGCTAAAATTAAAGGCTAGAATCAGCATTGATCATAGTAGATAGAGATACAACATTGCAAACTCTACAATCAATAGCACCAATCCAATAAAAAACATGTAAAAGATTACACTTGCCCCTAATTTCCCTTCCTAATGAATTTTTGTCACTCTCTTTTTCTCAATGGCCTCGCCTTTATTGCTTTAGCCTGGCCTCCTTTGATTGAATAATAGTTTGTCATATATACAAATACATAGAGACGTGTCACGAGCTACTAGTTTGCATTACAAAAATGCTATATTTTTTTTATTTTTAGACAGCACTGACATGAGTTTCTAACTCTTTTGGTTTATATGAGAGAAAGAGTCTTCTAGTAATTTTTTGTTTTCTTAAAACACAGTTGTCAGTTGAGTAATCAACCTGTAACATGAATCAAAACATATGTGCACATAGAGCTGGACAAGGTGGATTTGTGTCAAGCTTGAGCAACTCAAATTTGGTTCAAACTCGTCTTGAAATCAAAGTACATTTCATAGAACACAACGTAAGGCAAAAAAAATCAAAGACATGATATGACCCAAAAATGTTTACTTCCTATTCACATAAGGTAGATCGGTCTCAGGAAAAGCGGTCTATACTACATGTAAAACAATTAGTACCAACTATTCTCTTTGTCTTGCTCTATTCCTTCTTTTTAATATAAAATTTAGATATCATTTTCTTTTAACATATGAAAATAGTATTATACGATTTGGATCTTGTTTGTTAGCATCTGCTGTATTATATTGTGTGAATGAATTCATCAATACACTTATAAAATTGAAGGAGTATTTTGCAAGTTTGTTTCTCCTGAACATAAAACTATGTAGGCTCATTGTGCAGTGTATGATTGTTCTTCATCCATTTCACAGACAAAAGTGGAAGTGTGATAACTGATAAGTGAATTTGCCTTATTAATTTTAGTTTCTATTTTTTAAACTGTTGAATAGGATTAAAAATTTGAAGTACAGAATTGTTTATTAGTTTTCTGTTATTTGTCTCAGTTGCTTGTACAGAGCGTGGTCGTTAGCTTTGGTAGCCTTTTTTTTTGGGTCACCGAATGCTTGGAAATGCAAATAAGAATTGTTGGATTAGCTAGAGGCCGTTTGAACTTGAACTTGCTGTGTTATTTCTAATATGTAGCCTGTACCAGTTTCTGTTTTGATCCCACTTTTTTTTTAAGTGCCTGTCAAATATTTATATAGCATTTATATGTCCAATTACTCAATTTTATATAGTCATTTCAAATTTATCAATGAACTGTGTCAATTCTTTTCTCAGCCTTAGAACGAGCAGGGGTATAGCTTTAGTTCAGAGATGACAAATTACCCAAGTTCTTTCCTTTTAACTAGAAAGGTTATGTTGAACAGGTTAGGATGTACATATGGCTATTGAGCTTAAGCTATACAGATTGGGCTGAAATATGTACAATGAGTTTAAGCTGCATTGTTAGTTTTATATTTGCTGTAATATTTTCCTAGAAATGCAAATGATTTCTGGATGTATTGTTTTCTCCTATGATGCATAGACATGGACATGGCGACACGGATACGACATGACACGGACACGAGACACATCAGTTTTTGAAAATATAGGACACGGACACGGACACGGGTTTGACAATATATTATAGTTTTTTTATTTAAAAATAGTGTATAAAAATTAAATAAGTATAATTTTAAAAATAATTTGAAAATAATAAGTCATTTAACTAGAATTTGTGCTTAAAATTATTAGTATTAGGAGGTCGGGAGTCAGGCGTCGATGCCGTTTATCAGTCACTGAGAGAGGAGATGAAAATACCTTCATTGCCAAAAAAGAAATGAAAATGAGAATATTCGATGATTGAGTATTAAGTGCGGACTTTGATTTGGTGTTGTGGAAAGAAAATAAGAAATTTAGTTTAAATCCCGCCAAATACCATAAATTATATTTTTAAAAAAAATTCATAAAATATTTAAGATACGCGTGTCCAATTTGTATTTAATATTTTTTAATCGGACACATTTTCGGCGTGTCCAACACGTGTCGGAGGAGTGTCGAGCGAGTGTCGTGTCGGATACGATGTCGAACACTGCACACCTCTTTGAGGAGAAGTGTCAGTGCATCATAGGTTTTCTCTAATTTGTTGCCAACTTCTATTTTTAATTTTTTATTCATCCTTTATTTTAATACTAATCTACCGGCATTTTTTTTGCATCCATATAACATGTGTTCTAACCTTTTGCTTGAATACATTATTTTCAGATTATTAAAACCATGTTTACTCGCTTGAATATTATCATTATTCAGGATTTTGGTACTAATAAGTTCTTTTTTTATCTGTACTGCTTGTAGTAGGTGGTACGCATGGTGGTGAGCACATATCAAGCAGCCAGTGGTGCAGGTGCCGCTGCAATGGAAGAGCTTAAGCTGCAGACTCGTGAGGTGTTGATTTATTTGTTGAGCTTTGTTATGTTCTCCGTTGTACAAATTACCAAATTGGTCTCTATTGTTGGCTTATCAGGTATTGGATGGCAAGCAGCCCACTTGTAAAATATTTAAACAGCAGGTATTTATCATTTACTATGTCCTTAAATTAAACATGTGAAAATGATTAGTTCTGAATTTTTGAACTATACCCTCTTGTGCAGTATGCATTTAATCTATTCTCTCATAATGCACCAATTCTCTCAAATGGATACAATGAGGAGGAAATGAAGTTAGTGAAGGAAACAAGAAAAATATGGGTAAATTGATTTTTTCTAATTCTCTGTTTTTTTCTGTCTCTTTTTTATCTTTACTTGAGTTATCCAATGCATTCTATGATGCGTGTACGCAAACATGTTTTATTGTCACAACACGACGGACTTGATGACACCAAATTTTTTAAATGTTGACAGGACATTTTTAGTTCACTCATTTTTGTATTTAAAATTAGGTAAAAATGGTATCTAAGTAAATGGGAAGTTTCAGTAAAACGTTAAGTTGCAATGACATTATGAGGAAGTGATAAAGAGGAAGTATAAGAGTAAAATTTTTTAAATGTTGACAAGGCGTTCCTAGTTCACTCATATATATAAGTAGCTAAAAATGGTATCATGGTAAAGAGGAAGGTCTTTGAAAACATCAAATTACAATGACATAATGAGGAAGTGATAAAGAGGAAGTATAAGAGTAAAATCTCTTAAATGTTGTAGGACATTCCTAGTTTACTCAATTTTGTATATAAAAGTAGCTAAAAATGGTATCATGGTGAAGAGTAATATTTAGCAATATGCAAGTTACAATGACATTATGAGGATAAAGATGAAGCTATGTTGCACCGATACGGATACAACAACACGGATATGACATGATACAGATATGGGGAACGTCAATTCTTAAAAATACAGGATTACGGGTACGGCGCGGACACAACATTATAATTTATAAATCATACATAAAAATTAAGAAAGTAATCAAAGCATAATATTTGAAATTACTAAAAAATAAAATAAAAGTAACATCATTTGTAGCCTTGTAGCTTATAATATCAAAATAAAAGCAAGCATTAAATGTCTAGTACAACCACAAAAGCATAAACATAAATTGTCTAGCACATGAAGTTTCAACTATTCAATAGAAGGAATGATATGATTAGCTTCTTTAGTGATTTATCTTTAAACTTCTATATCATCTTCAATAAATATCATAGCTTCTAATTCATGCTCATCAAGTGAAAAATTAGCATTTTATAATATTCCCATATAATCAAGAGACTCAAATCCATCTCGGAAATGAGAAAACCTCACTCGCAGTCGTGGAAGTAAATATGATGCATCTTTTTTCGGATTTTTTTTTCAATTGACACGCATATCGGATATGCGTGTTCTTTTGAAATTAAATAGTATTTTAATTGGATACGGCTTTGTTGTATCCGACACATATCGGTGCTGTATCGGAGGCGTATCCGTGTATCAGTGTATTGGATACAATATGCCTTCATAAATAGATGTATCGGTGCAACATAGAGATGAAGTATAAGAGTGGGAATCTCTTAAGTGTAGTTTGATAAATAACCCAGTTAGAGTGGCAGAAATTTTTTTTCCCAAATTATGCTCAACAAAAGTTCATGTTATGTTCCAAGATAAGTCTTATGGGACACATAGTTTACATTCAAACTTATTATGCTTTTTAAATATTTCTTGCTGCAGGATGACTTGAGTGTGAAGGTGACAGCTACTTGCATAAGGGTTCCTGTCATGCGTGCACATGCTGAAAGTATTAATCTTCAGTTTGAAAAGTCAATGGACGAGGTAAAGGAACTTCCAAATTATGTTTTTGACTAGAAACGTCATTATTCAATTATGTTTACAATAAGAAATAATGTACAGAAGTAGATGCACACATTCATGGACCAGTGGACAGTCCTATGCTAATTAAGTGAATTTGAAATACTTTGTGTTTGATACACAGCCTACAAAACAACGGAATTTTCAAAATTCATCAATTTGATTTACTTTACATTAGTAATACGGCAAAGCCAAACTTCCCCCCAATATTATTAGAATATATGGTAGACTAGAACTAGAGATTGCCTAAAAGTTCATGACAGCACAACAAAGATTCATTAATTGCCTGTTAAATCATAAGGTACATATGATATACTATTCATTAATTTCCATGAGCCATACATAAGTTGAAATCAGCTTTTCGTTGATTGTAGGCTACTGCAAGGCAAATTCTTGAAGAAGCTGCTGGGTTGGTGGTTATAGATGACCGTAGTTCTAATCTTTTCCCCACGCCGCTTGAGGTCTTTCCTTTCCCTTCATCTTTTCAGAACATCATAAGAATCCAGATATCTTGATATAAATTGTGCCACGACATGCTTAACAATTATTACATTTATTTTAATGATGTACAATATTATGAATTCTTCATATACCTCACTAATCTTAAAACAAATCCATTGATTTTCTATCCCAATCGTCATACAAATTGTATGAGAAAATCTTTTTTCATAAGAATTGAAGAAATTTTTTATAAGGATATTTTTAATCTGATCTTTTAAAATTCTCAAATTTATTTTAATATGAGTGCAATACATCATCAATCCATTTTTATGTTGTACTAATTTCAAAGCAAATTTAAGAGTTTTAAATTTTTATGGACCATAAAAATTAGAAACCGGAAATGTATACAGCTATTTGTATTTTGATTTTGTTTGGGACAGTTTTTATGCTGGTTTCTAAAATAAATTTCTAGTATAAAAATTTCTTGAATTAAAAAAGCTGTTTTAGAAAGCAGCAAAAAAAACCGTCTCAAATGAAGCCTTATTCTCACTTAGCACATTATCGCAAATTTTTGGGGTGTCGTAGGTATCAAACAAGGATGATGTTGCAGTAGGTCGAATTCGGCAGGATTTGTCTCAAGAGGGCAACCATGGGTAAACATTCAAAAGTTGTTATTCTATCATCATCAACATCATTATTATTTTATCTCCATTCAATTTAACCTATGATAATGATTATAGGTTGGACATATTTGTCTGTGGAGATCAAATACGAAAAGGGGCAGCACTTAATGCTGTACAGATTGCAGAGAAACTGCTATGATCAGTATGTTGTTTCTCAAATTTCCTTTGATGACAATGCAAGGGAATGTAGTTCTATTTGCTTATTGTTGTAATTTGCATTATTATTATTATTATTATTTTTTTTTTTTTTTGGCTAGAAAATTTTGCTTCCTACAGTATATGTATTGTGTACCGGAATGCATTTATATTGTTTTTCTTAAGAGAATTATGTGAATTCAGTTTAATGTTTTTGTAATTAGATTATTTAGATCTCAGTTTTTAATAATAACACTTGTTTTTTTTTTTTTAAATATGTTTATTTAGTGTGGTTTATAATTGTTGTTATTTTTGTTTTTAAAAATATTAATATTCAAAGTAATTTTAAGATGTTTTTAGTTTTTCTTTTTTTTAACAATTATAACAATTGGTCATCATTGCCCAGTGCCCATTGCCTCATCGGGGACTGCAATGATCAATTTACCTGATATTTTTAAATTTCCGAATAAATTTTATCAACTTGGAGTTCGTTTGGAATATTTTTTTATAGGTTTTTTTTTATATTTTTTAGTAAAAAAAATTTTTGAAGTATAAATTTTTGTATTATAAAGTTATTTTTTAAATAAATAAAAAAGTTATCTCAAATGAAGTTGTAGTTGTAGATGCCCTTAGCTACTTGCACTCTATTGTAGATGCCCTTAGCTACTTTTAAATAATTCATCTATGATAAAAATTAATCATAAATTTAACATAAAATAATTAATTTTTTTATTTAGAGATGAGTCTTTAAATCAAAAAGTCGAGATGTCCAAGGTTTTCTTATAGTGTTTGATATTATGATTAAATTTATTATTTATTTTTTAAATAAGTAAACTTTCATTACTATTATTGATACGTCGTCATGAAATCATTTTGATCGGGCATGAATCTCGAGGCAAAAACCAACAATAAAATTTCAAAAATTAAATCCGGGAGCACTTGAACTCCGATTTCAGCGAGCTTACAGTCAAACTAAGCGCCTCAGAAATACGAACCTAACGACACCAAATTCAACTCAATCCGAGTCCAAATGAGTCTGAATCGAAGACTTGAAGTGATGTTGGAAGGTTCGAATCACAATTTAAGTTACCAAACGGTCTCCGATTTTAACGAGCTTATACTCGAATCAAACGACTCGACGAAACAAATCCAATGAGCCCAAGATCGCCGAATTCCAACATCACTAAAGCCTTCAAATGTCCAACGAACTATGCACGATCAAAGGATTCAACATCATCCGTCCATTCGACCACTCTCTATTCACCCCTGATCTCACACCTATTTACAAGCCATGCCACTCCAGAAAAACTATAAATAGTGCCCTCATTCTTCACAAGGGGACTGAAGTGAAAAGAGAGAGAAGCCAGAAGAAGAGGAGAATCAGCTCCTCCTCGACCACCGCCGGAGTTCTTCCCGCCGCCTGAATACGCCGGAATTCTGCCGGATATTCGGGAAATGCCGGTATTTTGCATAACTTTGCTTTAATTCAAGAGAAACTTAGTGTAATCTGATTATCCTAACTTGTGGGAGGAATCAACTTCTTGTAATTTATGCAACACTAGTGGAACTTTTCAACTAGGCGTAGCCCCGTGATTTTTTCCCTTTTCAGGATTTTTCACGTTAAAATCCTGGTGTTCACTTTCTTTTTCGTTTTTGTGCTGAATATTAGTACAACGCTCGTACAAAAATTTACAAACTCTACCGCCGCGTATATTATAGCCCGCAACAGTTTGGCGCCGTTTGTGGGAACTACTATCCCACAACTTCAAGTGTTGCTACAATGGTCAACAGACGTAACAGTCGCATCGTTGGAGCTTCCCACTCCAACTCCCACCAATCCAGAAATCAATCGGTGAATTACAAACGCCCAATGTCTGCCTCTTTTCATCCTGGGGGCAAAATGCTGCCGGAGAAGGAACTTTGGGACCTTCTTTAGAAGAAAGAATCCGAAAGACGGAAGAATCTCATAATAAAATTCTTCAACTCCTACGAGAGACTCGGCAACCGACACTACCACCAAGGGAGGAAGTGCTTCTCCCTCGAGATTCACCACGGGTTGAAGATGTTCAATTCGAGCATCTTCAAGCAGAAATCCATCTTCCACCCCCAAGAAGGCAGATACATCAGGATAACGAACTTGTTGATACAGCAAGTTCTACACATCCTTCGGGATCCGCCAAAATGAGGGAGAATTGTTGAAGGAGTATTTTCAGCGGTTTTCCATCGAGGCTCGACAGATTCCAGGAGTAGACCCTGAATTACTCAGAGGGGTCTTTCTTGGAGGTCTTCGTCTTGACCCCTTCTATTCAGCACTCATGAGCGACAGTGTTCATTTATATGTTGACCTGATTCATCGTGTAGAGGCGCAAATTTTTACAGATAAAGCTATAAATGCTCATAGGAAGCAGTTTGAGCAAATCAACGGGAAGCGCAAAGGTGCACCTAGGATGGACAATTCATTCTCACAACAGAAAAAGCAAAGACATAATGATCTACCTCCTAGGCCTCCATTACCGCGATGGGAACTCTGACAGGAGAATGAGTATATCCCACTCAACACATCTCGAGCAAATGTATTGATGGCCGTTCGAGATCAAGATACATTAAAATGGCCGAATCCTTTGAAGTCGAACACAAGAAATCTAGATCAGTTCTGTCACTTCCATCGTAGTCGTGGTCACACTACTGAAGCCTGTAAGCAACTCAATGATGAAATTGAAAGACTTATCCGTTAGGGCTATCTTCGATTATTTATTCAAGATTCATCTATCCGAGAGGAAGTTCGTCCCGCTGGGGGGCAAAATCAACAACAAAGACAATCATTGAATATTATTCAAATGGTTGGAGAGATTGAATGATCACGCACTTCCTGCATTTGTATTAGCAATACTAATTGTCTTGTTGTCTCTTTTATGTTGAGTAGGGTGTCACTTTGATATATTTAATATCTTCTTCCAAGTTAAATATTGTATTGTGCCCGTACGTATATCTTATGTGTTGAGTCATTGTAACTTGTATATTCCTAAGTCATACTAGGAAACTGTTGTACTGTCTTACATAATACAGTAATATGATGTTCATGTTGTTGTGATATTATTTTCTCTTATGAAAGATAAAAAATTTCTCTAACTCTTTCTCCGTGATTCGAGAAATATACAATCTATATTGTATCTCAATCACTTTATGATCAATCCCAGGGGGATTTGATCCGACCTCTTCCACACAGGTTAACGTCATCGAGCAGGGCTCTGACATACAACCTCGGATAGGTCTTACATCCTTGGTGGATTCTCTTGACCTCTTCCACACAGGTTAACGTCATCGAGCAGGGCTCTGACATACAACTTCGGATAGGTCTTACATTCTCGGTGGATTCTCTCGACCTCTTCCATACAGGTTAATGTCATCGAGTAGAGCTCTGACATATAACCTCGGATAGGTCTTGCATCTTTAGCATATTCACTTGGTCTCTTCCACACATGAATATAAAATTCTGGAAGACTAGAAAACCTCAAAGAGCATGAAAGGCACATTCAAAGCATACCTCAAAGAGGCGTGAAACAACTTAGTTTTATTTGGATGACGAGCTCATTTCAAATGAAAAACAAACATCTAGCTCATACAATAATCTCAACTTCATATATAATATCATTGGAGTTATATTACAAGATTGTACATCAAGCAACATGACATATTATAATTTGATCTTTATCAAGCCTCAACTCAGTTAGCACTATACGTGTGTTGCCAGACCACTAATATAACACACTGCTCCAGCCCCTTGACTCAGTGATATCTGTTGTCGGCACACTTCAGTTTGGATGCATATTGCATGGGCAAAATGCCACTGGACTCTTGCCATCATTTCGTCATTCGTCTGATATTTGCTGGTTATCCTTCACTTCATATCGGCCATCATCAGCTTCTCGCTCAACTGCTACTTGCAGCGCACCCTCGAACTCTCTCCTTCAGCTCTACACTCGATCGTTGACTGCTAACGGGCTTCAACTTGATCGTCCATCGCTGACAGACTTCGGCTCAAATGATGTTGAAAATTCTCCTTCTACACAATAGAGGGGCACTGAAGCTTGATAGGAAAATGTCGTCTATCTCTGACAGTGGAATGCCTCCAATGCAAGAAGAAAGAATAAAAGAAGAAGAAATCTCCAACCTCTGCGCGAGAAGAGGGGCGCTAGATTGAGTAGGGAAAATTTTCCACTAAAAAACAGCTGAAAACCTCTACTGTCAGAAAGCCAGAGGGGGGGGGGGGGGGGGGAAAAAAA